TACACACATAACCCAAGGCTGGAATGGAAGGTTTTTCAAGAAAATGCTGCCCACTTTAACAAAGATTAAGAGCTAGATATCTGTTTTAGATAAACAGAACACTTAGTAATTTTTAATTTGTAATACAGCTCCTTGAGCTATTGCATATATATATACACATGTACATATATATGTGTATGAGGGTTCATATGTTGTGTATATCCATGCACACATTTGAAATAAATAGGGAGTACCAGGAGGCAGAGATATGAAATCTGCTTCCCATAATTAGTGCAATAGTGCAGAATCATTCATTCTTTATGTTGTATACGTAAATACATAGGAGACATCTGATTATTCTGTTCCTACAAAGGAAAATACAAGACCTTGGGGAGAATACACAGTTTGTTTCACTAAGAATGGCAAGTCCTTCATATTGTTCCTCACTGTGCCAAATTTGTTCATACTCATGGATGTAACAACCAGTGCAAACTGCTTCTCTGCAGGGTTTATGCACTTTAACCAAAACCCTCAACACCTTCCGCTTGCAAGTAATCTCAAAACCAAAAGGAATTATGCTCTTACCCATAGATACCCAGATTATCCTGCAGAGCACCCAGGGAAGGATTCTCAAGAAGCCCCACCAACACACCCTGCAAGGACACTTCTGCCTTGCAGACTAGTTAATTCTTAACTTCAGCTGAATTCCTGCAGGGAAAGGACAGACTGTACACACAGCAAATCTGTCCTTTACAAGGTGCTCGAAGCACTTTAGGAACAGCCAACACCATCTTCCTTGAAAACACAGAGTCTTCCAGAATTCATGGAGGTTACACCCTGGCAATCTGCAACAGCTGCACTTCCCCCTATTGTATAGTGGAGTAGGGCAGCTCTAAGTTAATTAGGAAACAACAATGAGTTTATGAGGTTTATAGTAACCAAAGTAGATTAAGAGTTTTTAAAGACATATTGCTTTTCCTTACTTAATCAAAATTCTCTGTTTAACTGCACTACATACAAATAAAATGTATTACCAGTTTGGCTCTGTCCAAACGAGACAGAAATGCCAGAACTCCAGAGCTGTACCAACCATCTTAACAGGCATCAAAATTATACAGCTACCTTTAAGAGCAGCTTCACATTTATTGCCTTTATGCAAAATCATTCAAATTGAGAAATCACTAAAGCTAAGACAATAAGTTTTTCTAAGGCAATAAGTTTTTCTTTAACTTTACAGATTAAAAACCCCTAAACAGAGCTTCATTGCTCTAAAAATAACAAGAATGAAAAAACAAAACAAAACAAAAAAAAACCCAACAAATAAAAAAATCTCAAACCAAACCAAAAAACCAACCAAAAAACCCAAACAAACAAAAAAACCCAAAAAATAAACAAAACAGACCAGTCCATTCCTCAAGTGAAGACATGCCTTTTGTTTATCCAGTTTGTCTTAAATATGCACCTATTAATTTTGCTCCAAGTCCACAAAAGTCAAATTGAACTCACTTGACTGACTCCCCATCTGTAAAAGGTAAATGTCTGACCTCCCTTCACTTAAGGGATCTGAATGCAAACAGACTAATGTCAGTAAAACAAACAAAACCTCTTGCAAACCCATGTAACTCTGAGTTAACAGAAAGATTAAAAGTAAGTTCCATGGTCGCATATCCTGCCAAGCTCTGCCAATAGGATTTTGCGAGTAAGCAGGAAAGAAAATGTATTGTATTTCTATCATGATTTTCTGTTTGCTGGTTAAAGTCAAGAGCTTTAAACTGCCCTATTCATAAGGCAGGCTGATTCCCACCACAGCTGTTGTTCTGCCTGCCCTCATCTTTCTTGGCAAAAAGTTTCTTTTCCTTCTCCTTCTAAAGCCAGAATTAGTCTGTTCCCAGGCTGAAAAACCACACTAAAAAAATCAATCACAGAAAACCTACGGCAGCATCTGACCAGGAATCTCACTCTTGTGTATGCACGAATTCTCAAAGTGAACTTCTGGAATTTAAATCAACAGGTACATGTCCCAGAAGTGACACATTATTAAAACACAAAGTAAAACCAAAGAGTGATGGTCCCATTACACATGAATGGATATATAACAAAAGAAAAGCCATAGTGGATTAAGCCACAAGTGTACTTATTCCAACATCCAGTCCAGCAGGACATCTCACTATATTCCACCTTCACCACAGTATCTGGGGAGCATTTCAGAAAGCACTACCAAACAGTTACTCATACATATTTCTGACAAGAAAATGCACCTGTTCTGTTAAATTAACATGACTGCACGCAGGAGCAGCAGGACCAAGAGAGTAGCCCCAGCCTGAAGAAACAAGAACTATCTTTCACTAAGAACACCAAAACCCAAGCACTGTCCTAAATCAGAACTGAGCGTGCAAAATTCAATCTACACATACAAGTAACAGAATATAATCCATATTAGTTAAACTAGATGCACACTCTAGGAACTGTGAATTAGTGATAAATGGGAAAGGTGATAAGTTTTGTATTGACACTGCCAGCCCAAGCTGTGACAGCTGCATCCCTCTCACCATGTTTCTACTCTCTGGAGCAAATGTTTGCACTCACACGACCACGTGGTGTGCCACTTCAGAGAGCTGTGCCAGCTGAAAGCCAAGCTACCAGAAAGAGACATTTATTTTTTTATTTACTATCTGAAATTAACTCTCTGTCCTCACCTACTGCTCGGTCAGACAAGCAGAGGAGCACGTGGCTGGAGTCACAGATGCAGAACTGCAGCATGCATGAACTGCTAATAAATACTGCAAACAAGAGTGTAATTCCAGTCTCTAGTCTGAGAGCAACAGATCACACTCCTCAGAGTCCAGTCTCCATGGCATCTGCTCCGATACATCAGGACAGGCTGAGGGGCTATTTTGCAAGCTACCTCTCATATTTCCCTTTCTCTTTGCTGGAATTCTTTAGATTAAAGATAAGGGAGCACAAAGTCACCACAGGCAGAGAACTGAAATAGTCTGGAGCTCTTTTAACGCAGCCCTGCACACACGTGTTTCCAGAACGAGAGACACTGCTGAGCCTTTAGAGCAGAATGTTGCTTTCTCTGTTCCAAACTCCAGCAGAGGCCCCCATGACGATTCTGGAAACAGGACCCTTTTTCAAGAGACTCTTGAAAGCCAAGCACTCCTGCTATGACACAGTTATTTATATTGAGCTTTAGCACAGTCACGTGACAAAGAACTGCGGCCTTGTGATTAAAAACGCTTCAGCCAAGGCTTTACCCGGCACAGAATCTTGGACGTAGCCTGTTAAACGACTCTCCTATCGCTCCTGGAAAAGTGTCTAAATGCAAAGAGCGCAAGGGGCAGCCTCGCGGGGTCACGCCACAACCATCCCTAGCGGCTGCTCCAGGTGGACAGAGCCGAAGCTTGGGCGGGGTGCGGAGCTTTCAGCAGAACTGAAGCCCAGGCTCTGCAGCGTGGGCACCAGGCGCTGGCACCGACGCCCTGAACGCAAAAGGTGAGCACGGAGCGGCCGGCGGGGCGGGCACCGGGGAGGCGCCTCCGGAGCCGCTCCTCGCCCGGCCTGGCCCCGGCACGCAAAGTCTGTCCCCCCGCCGCGGCCCGTCACGCACCTTCCAGCCAGCGGAGCTGTTGCTGTCACCCTTGTCCTTGAAGTAAGGGACGGAGCGCACCATCCACTCGTAGATCTGCGCCAGCGTTAGCCGCTTCTCGGGAGCGCTCTCGATAGCCTGGCTGATGAGCTCGGCGTAGGACTGGCTGCCCCAGGCATTGCGCCGGGAGCCGCCCTTCCGCGCCGCCGCGCCGCCCGCCCGCGCCCCCTCGGTCCTGCCGGGCCCCGCCGCCGCGCCGCCTGCGCCCTCCTCCGCCGCGCCAGCCGCGCCGCCCGTCTCCGCCTCGGGCCGCGGCAACGGCCAGGTGCAGGAGCGCGGGCGGCTCTGAGGCTCAAAGTCAGGGTCGATGTCCGGCGACGCCGCGGCCCCAGCCGGCTCCGCCATGGGCACCGCCTTAGCCCCGCCGGGAGTGCCGGACCCGCCACCCCTTTGTGCGCCCCGGGCCCGCCACCGCCGCGCTGCTGTGTTTACCAGGGAGCAGCGCTGCTCCCCGCGCCTGCGCGCGCGGGGCACGCCGGGAGCGGTAGTCCAGCCGGGGCGTTAACAGGCAGCTAGGTACGGCCGGCGGACTACAGAACCCAGCTCTCCCTGCGGCGGAGGGCGGGGCGTGTCCCACTACGGGTGAGCGTGGCAGGCGGTGCGTTGATGTGACTACAGCTCCCAGCGGGCATCCTGGCGGGCTGCGCTTACATAACCTGCCAGGCCCAGGGCGGGCCTAGTCCCCTTACGATGGCAGAGAGATAATAGTGGCGTGGTGGTAGCAGCCCTGAGGCGGTCGCAGCTCCTCCGCCCACCTCAGAACATGCCGCGGCACTCCGGGTCGGGCCGAGAGCGCTGCTCTCCGCCATCCCGTCACAAATGAGAGCCTATTTCCGGGACACTCCCTGGCATAAAGGCGTGATGGGTCTGCGTGCTGATCTGCCCGTCAGAACTGCGGCAACCATGTTCCAGGGCCTCACGCTCCCCGCGCTGCACAGTACCCGGGGCTGGTTGTATTCCAGACGCTGTATGTTGCAGTCCCTGTGTACGTTTCTCGGACCCGCGTCCCGGTTTCCAGGGGTGCGCTCAGCGCGGCCGCCTCAGCTTCGGGCTGTGCCCTGTCCCGCGGGGGCCCGGCCGCGGGCGGGACAGGCGACGGCAGCAACGCCGGGAGCAAGCCTGCCATGCAGGTTCCGGGGCCGGCCGAGCGAGCCCCGCGGGCTGAATATCCCTGCGCTTATGCAGGGAGCGGCCGTATGGCGGCGCTGTCACGGCTGTAGCTGAGCAGCCCCGAACCCTGGATAACTACCACTTTATGCAGGCGCTGTGCGGGCTCCGTGCTGCGATGTGCGGGCGGGGTGGCGGCTGAGCGGCCCCGAACCCTGGATAGCTGTCAGTTTATGTAGGCGGCGGGCGGGCGCCGTGCTGCTATGCGCGGGCGGGGTGGGCTGCGGTAGCAGGCGGGGCGAGCCGGGCGGGGCGGCGGCACCACCACCATGTCGGAGGCGGCGGTGGCGGACACCCGGCGCCTCAACGCGAAGCCGCAGGACCTCACGGACGCGTACGGGCCGCCCAGCAACTTCCTCGAGATCGACATCTTCAACCCACAGACCGTGGGCATGGGCCGCGCCAGATACACTAGCTACGAGCTTCGCATGCGGGTGCGGCCCCGGTCGGGCCTGCGGGGCTGGGCTGCCCGGTTGTGCGGCCCGGGGAGGGGCGGCAGCGCTGGGGACGCGGGGGCCGAGGGACGGCGGCCGGGTAGGGCCGGAGCGGTGCCGCTGTTGAGCAGCGGGGGGCGGAGGCCGCGAAGCCCCGGGCAGCGCCGGGCTGGGGCGAGCAGCGCGCCTGCCAGACTCAAGGTCAGAGCTGATGGGTTCGCTCGGCATCCAGCGGGGCTGGTGCGCACACGGACAGGGAGGTGCTGCCTCAGCGGGCTCCTGCGTCCCTTCCCTTTGTAGAGCCCCGCTGGGCAGTTACTGAGCAGGGATGGCTGCACGTAGCTGCTTATCTCAGGCAGGGAGCTGGGGGGCAGTAACCTGGGACCTGCTCACACTGCATGCTGGCTGCTTTACCAAGAGCTCATGAGCTAGGAGCGTGCATAGCAGGCTGAGCAGAGTTCTCTTCATTGGGCCTTAAACGAGCTGAACTGGGGACCCCTTCACAGCTCTGTGTCTGGCACATGGGAGAAGTAAAACTGAGCTTCCCCTAAAACAAGGTCCCTTTAGCATGTGTTGTGCTGGTTTGACTTTTGCTTATAGCGTGATTTAACTGCTTAGATTCCTCTGCCTTTCAGAATAATTGGTGTTTGCTTTTTTCTCCTGGTGCTTGACTCCCATCAGCCTGTAGGTGGCAATGGGAACCTCTTAGTCCCACTGAAACCTGCAGAGATGCTTTGAAAGCAGCTGGGTTTATTTCACAGACCTCATAAGAACACGCTTAATTGTGTTTCAGTAATATCCTGAGTCCTGTCTATCAGAAGGTTTTGCTACCTCAGTTCCTGAAATTATTCAGGCTGTGTTGATGGGGTAAAAGTAAAGTTAATGCAGTTGTCATTTGTTGTACTCCAGTGTCAGGGGAAAAATGTGAGGAATTGCTGTACCATTCTCCAGTGACACAGGATGGGCATGAAAAGCCTGTTAGGGTAGGTGCTCTGTTTTGGGAGAAGACTGTAGATAAGATCTGGCCTTGAACAGTTGCTAGGACGAGATTTCCTCAGTTCTTCCATGGAGATGCCAGTGTCAGGTCAGATATTCTTTTGTTCTGGAGGCTGCTGCAAAACTTTAAAATGGAGTAAACTTGGGTTGGGTGGGTGGAATCATTCTCCTGACAATCGTGTTGTCAGCACTGGTTCCAGTGTGTGCCCCTGAGAAGAGGGCATGTTCAGAAATGGTCACTCAAGGGGGAGGGAATGGCTGGCACTGAGGAGGCTGGCTTGCATGGATCTGAAGGATTTTGGTGTTTGTGCTGTCCTAAATAAGGAAGTTGAGAGTTCCCATCATGTGTCCTCAGGAGGTTTGATTTTCTCACTGCAGCTTCAGGTTTCAGTTACATGTGTGGCTTCCAGAGCAACCTGCAGATAAACTGCTTTGCTTCATTACAGACAAACCTCCCCATCTTCAAATTGAAGGAGTCATGTGTGAGGAGACGATACAGCGACTTTGAGTGGCTGAAGAATGAGCTGGAAAGAGACAGTAAGGTGAGGCCTGGCTCAGACCTCCCTATTCCTTAAGCCAGGATGTGGGAACAGTTGCAGTAATAATCTTTGAGATTCCCAGAAATGAAGCTGTGGTGGTGGATGTTGCACCCCAGACACTTAAATCCAGGGATTAAACTGAGGTTGCTTTAGTTTGGTGCAAGGAGAAATCCCAACCAGATATTCTCAAGAGGTCACAAATGCACAAAAGTTTACTGGAAAAAATACAGAAAGTGAAAGAATTTTGGCAAAGGAATAAATACACTTAGAAAACACTTATTATAACATTACTTAGCATTAATTTACTATTAACTTAGCATAAACTTATCCTACTTAGCTTTGAAACCTTTAAAACCTTAAGTTGCTATGTTCCAAAAAAAGTTGCATGAAAAGAGAATTAGAAGAGAGAAAAACACAGAAAAGATATAGAAAAACACACATAGCTACCAACTCCTAGGGTTCCAGCATGGGTGAGGTGGAAAATCCAGGAGAATGCAGGGGCCAGACAACTCCCTCATGGGGGCTTTTAAGCCCCAGGGCCTTAGTGGCCTCCTCCCCAGGTGCAGCTTCTGGTTGCTCAGTTAGCACCACCCACAGTGTGTGATTGATGAACAGCTCTGCCCGGCCTGAGATGCTGGCTCTGGGCTGGGGGTGGAACATTTCACTGTTTTGCCTTCACAAGACCTGATCTGCCCCTCCCATCAAACATACACACAGGCATTTGCCAAGTATCCAAAAATGTTTAGAGACATGAAACTTAGCCAGTCTCTGACGGTGGGAACCTTCTGCTCTATCCATGTGATGGCACTGGAGATGAGCATCAAACAGCAAAGGTAGCTGCTTGCAGGTAGGTGTTCTGCTCATGACGATTCTGTCCTTTCAGATTGTAGTGCCACCACTGCCTGGAAAAGCTTTGAAACGACAGCTTCCCTTCCGAGGAGATGAAGGCATCTTTGAGGAGTCTTTCATTGAGGAGCGGAGGCAGGGCCTAGAACAGTTTATTAACAAGTAAGTTTGATGTCCTGGCTTTGCTGTGTGCTGCCTTTTTAGCTTTTGCTAGGCTGTGTGGTTTGACTGTGAGAGAGTCTTTAGTCTTGACCTGCTTCTGGCAGGTGCCAGTGCTCGAGTGTGGTGTCTACAGCCATGTAATGAAACTGGAACAAGTCCTGCCCTAAGTGGGCGTTGTGCTTTGTGCTCTCTCCTGAGAGCATAGTGAGTATTAGCAGAACAGCTCTGCTACAGAGACCCACCAACATGGTACTATTTGTTCAGGGCACGGCCTGGAAGGGACCAGCCTGTGTCCAGGCATGTCTTACTTGTCCTGTTGCAAAGTGATGCATGACCTTGGGCTGAGCATGGTGCAGGTGCACTGAGCTGGCTGCGGGCCTCTCTCCTGCACATATCAGAGCTGTGGGGGTCTTGGAGGCAGCTGTGCTAACCTCCACATCTGATTTTCTTCCAGAATTGCTGGACACCCACTGGCACAGAACGAGCGCTGCTTACATATGTTCCTGCAAGAGGAGACTATTGATAGGAATTACGTCCCAGGGAAAGTGCGCCAGTAGGAGCACCTGGCACTGTCTTCCTCCATTCCACCCTCCCTCCTGCAAAAATGACATTTATTTTTACACTAAATCTGTCTTCTCTGAACCAGCTTTTCCTCTCTTGAACCTCTCAGTTTGTTCAGTATTTTCCTATTTTGTAACTGGCAGCAGTTTGTTCTATTGGGCTGTGGTTGTGGCCTAAAGATGTGAAGATTATGCAAGTGAGCATGTTGTACCACATCTAGCGGCAGATGTGGATAGGTGTGGAGCAGGAATTTGCTAATGGTATTCTGGTGTAGGAGCTGCCTCTCTCCCTGTACAGGAAGATACGAGATGACCTTCAGTCCCTTGTCTGTGCAGCCCCAAGCATCTCTGCAGGAGACTTTGAAGAATAGCACTTGTCATGTTGGTCAGTGATTATATCAGGTATTAGGGTTTTAGTAAGGTTTATCCAAGCCAATGAGTAGGTGCCTGGCTGTGTCAGTCTGTCATCCATCCCATTCACCCTGCATGAAACCCCCATTCTTCACTGTCTGGAAGTGCTGAGACCCAACACCTACTCAAACCCCGCTATCGGCCTCCTGCATTACAGACCTATTTGGTGTATTTGTTCCCCCTCCTTTCTAAGGTGCTGCTGGCAGCTCGAGGGATTTCCATCCCATGTGCTCTCGTGATGCTCTTTGTGGGCCATTTGGCACATGAGAGATGGGATAGTCTGGGCTGTAGCCACATGTACTGTGATGCATTGGTGCAGAGTTTAAGAAACACCAGAGCCTGCTGTACTATGGGCTGCTGGGCTGGTGTTGCCTGCAGCACCCTGCTTGGCTGAGCCCAGTGACCTTATCCTGGGCCCCAGCAGCTGGGAGGAGCAGACTGTCTGGCTGAGGAGGAGCAAGAGAGAGCCGGTGGGAGCAGTTGTAGGATGCATCTGTGCTGGCTGCCACTGGAGGAGTCCAACAGTGGGGCCTGGAGTGAGGCCACCTCTCCAGAAAGGGTCAGCAGAAAATGGGCAGTTAGTCCTACGTTAGACATAGCTTATGAAGCAGGAGAATTGGCAGTGGCTCTTTGTGTGTTCTCCCCTGTTCTCCAGTGAGCTAGGCAGTCACTTGTGTGAAAGTGAGAACATACGACTGGTCAGGGAAGTGTTCAGAGCTTCAGGGGACAACGAGGCTGTGACCTGCTGCAGCAGAAGTGTCCTTTGGTGGCTCCCCCAGCTGCCACAGCTGTGATGAGTGAGGTTGGGCCTCAACTTGGGGGCTCCTCAGGTCAAGGCTGGCTGGTTTATAAGTGCTTGGTCACTTTGTTGTGGCACAGTTGAGCCTTTTTTGGAGCACAGGCCTACGGTGGATGCCCTCCCGTTCCTGTCAAGGCACAGTCCCCGAGGCCCTCCCTACTCTCCTCTGTTTTCTGGTGAGGACCTGGTACTGCTGGGCGAGAGGTGGCTCCTGGGGGGAAGTTGCTGAAAGCACGAGGGAGCTGCTCTGGGGGCTGGCGCAGTCCAGAAAGGCCGTGCGGCAGCACGGAGCCTGGTGCCGGTGGCGGCGGCCGTGGCCTCGGAGGGGCTCGGTCCCGGCTTCCTGGTGCCGCCAGTCGCGCTCGGGGCGGCTCCTTCCCGTGCCCTGCACGGGGCTGCCATCCATCCAGCTGTCTGCACCCTGTCCAGTGTAACGTCCCGGTGCCGTTCGCATTAAACCACTGTGAAGCCAATTGTCTGCCTGGTCCTGGGGGCTAGCGGGACGGGGAAACAGCGGGGAGAGAGCGAGCACCGGCGAGGGGGCGGCAGAGCTGCCGGAATAGAGAGGCACCTGAGGGGCGGAGCGGGGGAACCGCCGGGAGAGGACGGGCACCGGCGGGGCGGGGGAACGGCCGGAATAGAGCGGGCACGGGCGGGGCTCTCCGGTTCTCTCCGCTTCGCCCCGGCGGTTCCGAGGCGCGATGTCGGCGCCCCGGGCCGGCTCCGACTCGCTAGACTGCCCTGACCTGCTGCAGGATGTCCAGCACCTGACCTCGCCGACCACCCCGCTCATCGCCACCGGCCTGCGCCTCAGGGCGGCCGCGGAGCCCTCGCCGGGCCCGGGGGTGCTCAGCGGGCTGCAGCCCGGGCCCGCCAGACCCAGCGCCTGCACGCCGCTGCCGTCCCGAGCCACGGGCGGGTCCCAGACTCGAGGGCGGGCGACTGCGAGGTCGCTGCTGCCCCTGTCCCGGCCCCAGAGGAGTCCGGGTGCCTCCCGCGGCCGGCGGTGGCCCCAGCGCCCCGCTCTGTCCCGGCAGGTTCGGCGCGGCCCCGGCCGGCCCTCCGGCGGCGGCCCCGGCAGCCCTGCCCGCTGCCCGCACCGCGGCCGCCAGGCTCGCTCTCCGCCGCGCACGGGCCTGGCCGGCGCTGCAGCTCCCCGCGGCCGGCACAGCGCGGCGCCCGGGAATCGCGGCTCCTCCGGCCCCAGGTAAGCGCGGTCACGGTGGGGAGCCCCGGCACGGACACGCCCGCCCGGCGCTGCAGAGCCCTCTCTCTCCCCCTAGTGTGGCAGGCGCATTCTTCTCTCTCTCCGGGTTTTTTCATAGAGGAGCACAGAGAGAAGAAAGAGAAAACAATTTCTATTTCTGCTCCTTGTTTTCCCATGTAGAGTGTGTTTAATTGTTTACTTGGGGTGATTGCTTGATTGGATTCTTGTGAGGATTGTTTGAGCTTGATGGCCAGTCAGATCCCCCTGTGTCTGGACGCTGGAGAGAGTGTCATGAGTTGTGAGTTAGATATGGTAGTTATAAAAATAGGTATGTAGTCTTAGTATCTCCTTTAAATGGTATCTTACTGTATTATAGTATAGTTATAATAAAGAAATCATTCAGCCTTCTGAACTGGAGTCAGACATCACCATTTCTTCCCACCAGGTTAACCTGCATGTACAATACCCAGGGACCAGGCTGAAGCCGGCATTGCCTGCCAGGTTCAGGCCTCAATGTCCCAGCGGGGCCTTGAAGCAGGCACAGCCTTCTGGAAATCCCAAACCGCCCCCAGGACAGAGAGATGAAAAGTAATTCTCACCTGCCAGTTGTGTCACACAAAGCAGGGAAGCATGTGGGTTAGGGTGCTGCATCTAGAAGGGAGAAGGGTAAGGGCTTGGGCTGCAGCCTGGCTGGGGACAGGACATGTGGAGTGGAGAGCCCATGGGAGCAGCACAGGTAGGAGCCTAGGAAATATTCTCATACCCCAAGGGATGTGTTAACACTCTCTGGCCACCAGCCTGTGTGGGCTGGCAGGAGCTGTGTGGGCTGTTGACTTTGAAGCCTTTCTCTCTTGGTGGTGTGGGTGTTACAGTGTACTGGTGCCTGTGTGACTAGGGTAGGCAGCCTGCTGAGCCCTGGGCTGCCTGAAGAAGGGGCAATGGAGCTGCTTGGGAATAGCGGCCTCTGTGTTTACTGTTCACTACAGCTGCTGCCAAGGTTGGGAGTCATAAACAACCATCCTCGAGGTTCTCTACAGGAATTCCTATCATGGCTTCCCGCTTGTCACTGCAGCCTTCGGAAAAAGTGATTCCATCCAAGCGTTTTTGCCTCAATAAAGGTGAGTCTTGCCAGAAGCCTCAGAGGCTGCAGAGTCATGGGAGACAGACACTGCTGCCATGGGAAGAACGTTCAGGTCTTGGCTGCAGGGTCAAAGCTGATCCTGGGGAAAGGACTGGGGTGGGAGACTGCACATACTTGGATTCAGATGTTCTGGTTTGAAAGCAAAACCAGTGAGACACTCCAAGTCAGAAATACAGTTTTTTTGGGAAAAGAAACAAAATCCATGCAATAATACAAAAGAAAAACCACTGTCAGAGTCAGAACACTACCTGACACCCCTCTGGCCAGCATGTTGGTAGCAATCCAAATTGGAGTGGCTGATGTGGTTCTGTTGGAGATGTGATCCTGTTTAAGGGTGCAGTCTTCCTCTGACAGTCTAGTGAAAAAGCCCAAGCTATTCCTCTTAGAAACCTATGGGAAGGCTGCTTCTCTGTCTAAAAATCCCAGGATATATCTAGGTGGGAATGCTTAGCTCCTCCCCCGTGGGCAGAGCATCTCACCATGGGCTAATGTCATTCTGAGTCATGGGTGTGTCCTTGATCCCCTGTTAAACAAAACTGGCTCCTGGAGGGAGTTACTTCTGAGCCATGTGGTGAGACATTGATGGGTCCATTAACTGGAGATACAGAAAACTGCCCACTTAACAGAAGACAACTGCTACACAGATGGTAATAGACAACGTCTTGCTTCTCAATCAGGGACATCAGAGGAGGGGAGGTGAAGTGCAAAGCAAGCAAGGCTAGGTGAATTCTTTTCTCTCTTTTCCTGGAGAGGCATCCAGCAAAGAACCTGAACAAATCTGGTGCTCGAGGCTCGTTTGCAGGAGAGGGAGTGGCTGTGGTCAGTCAGGGCACACTCTTAGCAGGAGTTGATGCTCTTTCTTTTCCTGTCCTGGGTCTCTTCAGGATCAGCTACACAGGAGTTGGTGCACAATAGGATCCAAGAGCTGAAGGAAAATAGTGAGAGCAAAGAAAGGCTGGTTGCAGCAAGCATTGTCTTGGGAGCAGGTGAGCAGTATGGAGGTGTAGATTACTGCCTTGTGTTGTGGGGGCTGTGGAGAAACATGGGCAGCTGCTTATTGGGCAGTGCTGCTCCCCAGATGAGCCCTGGCTGACCAGGTGTGGTCCTGGCTGTGGGTGTTCCAGCCTGTGCTGCAGGCAGGGGGTGCTGCCTTCACAGGAACTGCAGCTGGGCAGCCTGCTTTCCTGAGCCCTGTAGAGGGAGGGTAGGTGAGGAGGCTTGCCCCACTCTGCTGCGACAGCCTGTCCCACCCTGCCCAGGCAGCTGCCTGACCTCACTGAGAGCAGACTCCTAGCAGGAGCCCAGAGCTGCTGGGAGCAAGGCCATGCAGGAACATGTTCTCCCAGCAGCACCCGTACAGACCAAGCCAGCAGCAGCTGTTGGGCTGAAAGTGTGGGAGACTTCTGACTCTCTTGGACAGGTTCTGTCCTTCCCTGATTGGGAGCATCTCTGTGGCCAGGTTGAAGAGCAACTGAGGATAGCAGGCTTCTAATGCTGGCACCTCTCTTCACAGATGTAAATGACCAGACATGGGTGTGTGCAAAGTCCTCTTTGTTCAGTGAGTTGGCCCCTGGCCTGACTTCAGGGTGTGAAGATACAGTCCCTGCTGAGCAGGTAAGAGCCAGCTGTTTCCTGTCACCATGGAGCACTGTTCAGTCTGTGGTGTGGGCTAGCTATGCCAGAGGCAGGAGATGATGAGATCTGGACCTGCCAATTTCTGGCTGGCACTTGAGCTGTTTCAGCTTTTCTCTGGGGTTTACACAAGGCCATGGATGTTATTTGTATAGCTTTACCACCTCTCCATGTTCAGGCTTTGGTCCAGTTAGATTTTCTAAGGGCCTTTTGAAACATGCAAACTTCCTGTGGCTTGTGTTGTCACTTTTATATGTCCTGACATGTAGGACATGGCCTCAGGATGGGGAGTGCAAAGCCTTCAAGATGAATCTCCAAGTTGGGAAATCCCCTACCTACAAAATAAGTTTATGCATTTTCCAGCAGATTTAGGGCTTTTCATTTTGTGGCTGCAGCCTGCCAAAAGCATTCTTGTTTCCTAAGGGTGCTGGCAGATGCTCGCTGCAGTGGCTCCTTTGCCAGGCACCGCTCCTGTGATGGATGTGTCCTGGCGGTGGTCCCCAGGGTGTTGGGCTTGGAGTGTTGGATGGGTTGCAGTGCTCCTCCAGGGGATGGGCTGTGCTCTGGCTGTGTTGTGGTAGGGGTACAACTCCCTGCATTACACTTGCACCCTGCTCTTGCCAGTCTGCAAGTGATCAGCTATGCAAGGAGCTCAAGTGTGTGAAGCAAGAGCTGGAACAAGTGAAGGGTGAGCTTGGTACGTATTCTGAGGACTGCAGGATACCTGCAGTCCAGGGAACATCCCCTGCTTGTACCTGGAGCCCAGGACCTGCAGGTCCATGGGAGTGGAGCTGGTTTCACGGTTAGGGGATAGAGCAGGATCTCAGCTGCTGCCCTTGGGAGCCTGGGCATGAAGTATTTAGGATGGGCTGAGCACACACCTTCTTGCCTCCTGTCTGCAGCTGACAAGACTGCCCAGTGTAAAACCTATCAGCAGACAATCTCCTTCTTGGAGGCTCAGCTCAGAGCAGCAGGTATGTTCCATCACTGTGGTGAGCCTTTGCTTCTGGGCAGGCTGCAGGGATGCTCCAGTGATGCCTTGAGGGTTGCGAGGTGGGAAGGATACAGCTCGTGGCCTTTCCCAGGGGGTCAGGTGCTGAGTGCCAGAGTTGCTGTTGCTTTCTGACAGGAATGATTCCTGCTTTCAGACAGGAATCCATCTGAAAGATGCAGCAGTGTTCAACGGTGGTGACCTGGGGAGAGACTTGACAGCTGGGACGTGGGAACAGACAACAGCCATTGTCCAGCTGTGCGAGCCTCTGGGCTACTGATAAATGCGGAGCTCTGGAGTGAATTAATTTTCAACTCCTTGCATGTAAAATAAAGGTGACTTGCTGTCTGCTTTGGTAGAGGCAATGCCCAGTGCTGCCCACTGACCGAACAGGGCAGGTCTGTGCTTGGCTATGGCTGGTTTTGCTCAGCCAGAGATTTGAGGTCTGTTACAAGAAGGAGCTGGGTGCTGGTGGATGGAGGTACAGTGTGACTCTGGGGAA